TTTTTTTAAAAAAGGAGAAAAGAAGGGGGGCCCCCGGGGCCCCAAATATTTTTTTTCATTTTTGGGGCGGGGGAGTAAAAAAGAAGACAAGACCCCCCCCCCGGCAGCGGCGACGAGCTTTTTTTCTGCCACCCTTCTCGACACCCTCCCCTCGCCCCCCCGCCCGCAGACACGTCGACGACTACCAGCCCGCGCCCGTCGTGCGCAAGACGGAGCCGCCGCCGGCGGAGGCGTGGCCGGCGCCGGAGGAGGAGGGCGGCGCCGGCATGGGCATGCCCCCGGGGCAGGGCGGCGGGATGATGGGCGGTGGGCCCGGCGGGGCCGGCCCGTGCATGGGTGGTGCTGGCGGCTGCATGGGCGCTGGCGACGCGGGCGGCTGCGGCTGCTGCTGCGGGGGCGGCGGCTGCTACGGCGGCGGCCCCATGGGGTGCATGGGCGCAATGCAGCCGCAGCAGATGATGATGAACGGCGGCGGCATGTGCATGAACCCGATGCAGCAGCAGCAGATGATGATGATGCAGCAGCAGCAGATGCTGCAGCAGCAGCAGATGCTGCAGCAGCGGCAGATGGGGTGCGGAATGCCGAGCCTGCCGGGCATGGGAGTGGGCATGAACGCGCCCTCGATGGCGTCGGCGCCGCGCGGATTCGGTGCTCGCCCCCCGTGCACACGCCCCACCCAGGAGGGGCCTCCCTCCCATGCCTCCGACTGCCTTTGCTCGCAGACGGCGGCGGCGGGGGCGACGGCGGGGCCGCGGGCGGCGGCGGCCTGCAGAGCCTGTCCAAGGAGAAGCTACAGGAGCTGATGACCGACGAGAGCAAGCTGCAGCAGTTCCTCGCAGAGAACCCGACCATGATGGAGGAGATTATGAAGCTCCTCTGACGGCTGCGCTGACAGCTGCTCTGGTAGGGCCGTGAGAGCGGGGTGGGTCGGCCGTGCGCAAGGGGCGTGGCCACTGTGGGGCATGGCGCGGCCAGTATTCCTGTACTCGCTGAGTAGCGAGCGTTGGGGCGTCTCGCACACGAGTACCTCACATCGATGCCACAGCAGCCTATAGAGGGGGCTTGCGCGGTACCACATTCATGGGAGAGAGAGCTGCGAGCTCAGAGCTGCATCGCCGTTCTGTGAGTCGCACACCGCGAAGTCACAGCGCATGTAAGCTTATTTTTTACATACATAAACACATCTCTCGCCTCCGACGGTCAAAATCGCCCGCGCGCATATTTTATCACACAAAATTATCCGATGACACTTCTAGTTCTAGCTTCTACCTCCCAAAAGCAACGCCAACGGCTTACCTTTTAACTTTTATTAGATATTACGAGCCGCGGGAGCGATGTGGCGAGAACACTTAGACGCGCGGCGGCCCGATATGGAATCCTGCTGTCTCCTCGTGCGAACGCACCTGCCTTCTCTTGCAAAAAAGGCGAGCCGTCGTGTCCCAGCAGCGGCGCCGGGGGGCCAGGCATAGCCCCTGGCGAGGCGGCCGCCTCACCCCTGAGTGGGCCTTAGATTCGCGGAAAGCGCGAGAGGGGGGGGCGGGGCGAGGCAGCGCGCCGACTGCGACGGTCGGGAGAGGCTGAGAGAGAGAATCTTAATTAATGAGCCCTGATGCTGTAAAGAATGCGGGCTTGACACCCAGTCGAGGCATTGATTGCACAGCGCTCCCAGGATTTTACTGTACAGACCCCGATCCTAGCCACCTCGATCTGGCCTGCCATTCGCGCACGCTTGGAGACGCACGACAATCGGAGCAACTGGAACATTGACCTCTTTTGGTCCCTTCTTGCGATGCTTAGACGCCGCTGTGTCGCCGGGGCGCGGGATCTGCTTGTCGTCGACGCTGCTCCGGTGACACACGTCGATATGGGCACGTTGTGGAGGCGGTCGGGAAAGACTTGCGGCAGGCCGCCAGGGTAAGTGGTGCGGTGAGCAGGCACAACACGCTTCCAATGTCCCCTGAGCTCCGGCAGCTGTCGAGACACATTGTGGTGCGGACTCCGCGAGGCGCTGCCGGGAACTTTCCGATCTCGCGCTGCCCGAATGCAGTCGACAGCGCGTGGAAGAATGCCTCGCTGCTATTGCCCAACCTGTTTCTAGAATTGGGTGGTCGATTTCGTGACTCTACGAACCGGAGGGCCCCCGCAAGGGCCGGATGCGGGGTAGAGTAGGTTAGCTATAGCGTATAGGTAGAAGCCAGAGATCGAGTAGTAACGGAGGCGTTCTGAGTAGACTAGCGCGCAGCAGCGCCATAAAGGTATTCCTTCTCAATACTGTAACAAGGTTTGTGAAAGGGATGCGACTTCGGATCTCTAAATTGAAAAAAGAATTTTGTGTGGAAAAAGAATTAAGCATGCGAATGCGGGCGCGGCCACCCACCGTGCCGTGAAAAATCGTCTCCTCCTTTCGCCCTATACGGTAACGACCAGCTCCCTAGATGTCCCCAGAGGTTTCTCTCGTTTTTCAGCGCACATGCGCCATGGCCCATGCCCCACTGGCCGCTCATCGCGAAATTTTCTGCCTCCTATGTTTTGAGGATCTCGATTTCCCCGGTTTTTGAGATTCGCCTAGCAGATTACTGTACCCGGCGAAAATGTTTTGAATTGGGGAATCATTCTGCCCCCTGCCGATTCGGAGAATCACATCGGGAGAGACAAACGTGCGTCCACACAGGCTTGTCCATGATTGCCGGGGTATCCAGCGCTCCCTCGCTCCCTCCGTCGCACCGAGAGGCGGAGAGTCGGAGCCAGCCAGATGCTCAAGGCTCGCATCGCGCCCCTGTCCCACGACGAGACACGCTGCGTCCTGGAGCGTGCCTGCCTGCGCACGCTCCGCGCCATCTCACAGCTCAACCGGTCGTTCAATGAGATGGCTAGAGACATCTATCGCCGGGAGGCGCACGGCGCGAGCAGGCACGTGCGCGACGGGGACCTCTCCGCCATTGCGCTCTTCATGCAGCGCCAGCGCGAGGTCAGCTGCATCGACACTGACGGTGTGACCGTTGCCTGCGTGGTCACCACCCACAGGCCTGCGGAGGCGCCTACCCCCGTGCACGTCTCCGCGGCGGACGGCACCTCGTTCGTCGAGCTCTACTCAGCAGACAGCGGCCTGCCCGTCGTCGTCAACTTTTATGGCGCGCATGGAGACCGCGACCCGGACTCCTCTGGTGGGCCCGCAATGCGCGTCAACAACACGATACGAGTCGCGGCCAAGGACATATACGGCCGATTGTGCTACGTCGACTCGGTGGCAGTGAGCGGCACGCGCGTCGCTATCGGCACCGGCACCAACGGGGCGACCGGATCGCTCGAGGTCGTCGACTTTGTGCGCGGGTACTACGTCTTCACCAAAGCCATGGACCAGACCATCTCCTCCCTCCGCTGGCTCGGGCCGCACCACCTCGTGTACGGCGGGGACGGCGGCGGCGGCGGCGTCACCTCCATCATCGACATCCGGGTCGGCCTGGAGGCATCCATCGGCCCTTACGAGATCACCTCGCACATCGCAGTCCACCGCGGCCTCTGCGCGTGCGCGCAGTACAACACGCAGACCGAAAAGTACTCGGCCACGGTGTTTGCCGCGGACGACACCAGCCACACCCGCCCCTTCCTGCGCTCGCTCGCCGTGATTGAGGACACTGGTGACATCTCCGCCCTCGCGCTGAAGCGCACCTCGGACAGCCGATGCGTCCTCGCCGCCTCCCTGCTTGGGGCGGTGCCTGAGGCGCGCGTGCGCGAGGCGCACGTTCGCATTTGGGAGCTGAGACACCCGCGACAGGCGCGTGTGCTGTCCGAGGCGGCAGGGCTGTCGTCGTCGCATGCGCCGGCATGGGGTGGAGGGGAGGATGGGGCGGGCGGGAGGCTTGCGGCACCTCGCGACCAGTACAGCGCAGAGGAGAACTGGCACGGCCGTCCATTGGCGGACCCGCTTCCTTCTTGGGAGGTGACGCTCATGTGCGAGCTCCAGCCTGGGGCAGGCGTCGTGGCGGCAATCGCGCTTCACGGCTGCATACACAGGGGGCTCACCCTTGTGACGGCGTCATTGCCCTCGCCACACTACCACGGCGATTCGGCGTACGTGCTCCAGACGCCGGGTGACAGCGTCACTTGCTGGGATATGCGGCGGCTGTGGAAGGTGGGCGATCCGCCCCTGACAGAGCCGGACGCGAGGATGCCGACGCCACCGGGGACGTGCGTGGCTTTGGTCGCCGAGGGCAACGCGCTCATCATGGGAGGCGGCCCCGTCTTCAACGGACGCATCAGCCCCCTCAATCTTCCTCCTCCGCCCGCGGCCTTGGGGTTGATCGTGAAATTTCATCGTGAAATTCCTTTTTGACGCGCCCGTCGAGATCAAATTGGCGCGTCGCCGTTTTTGCCTGTGAGCGGTGCGCGCGGCAGCGGTTCTCGCAGCCGGCCCAGACAGTTCGGCTGAGCTCACCAAACTACGGCTATCGCACCCGTGCGCTCTATGGCGATGCACAATGGTCTTGATGTTCTCGCCATCGCCGTCCTCGCCGCAGCTGGTGGCGACTCTACGCAGCCCGCCAGTACGCAGCCTGCCAGCCTTGCTGTCCCCGCCGCAGCTGGTGGAGAGTCTACGCAGCCCGCCCGTCTCGCACCACTGAAGCTGCATCCTCGACTGCCGCCCGTCCTCCGAGTAGAGCGAACACCTCATGAGCACACGCGCGGAGGCACGCGAGAGAAGGCCAAGACGAGGAGCAAGTCGTCGAAGATCCGGAAGAGGCAGGTGGGCGGCAACCGCTCTGAAGCTCGGAATGTGAGCAGCCGCCTCGGCCGGAGGCATGACCTATTTCGTGTTTCGTCCAATCCAGCGCCACGCACGCATGACCTATTCAATCTCCAGTTCCCTCCGGTCTGTCACGGCCGTTTCATGGCCGTCAAGGACGACCTGTGGGGGGCGGGTCTCGGCTTCACCGCAATCATGCTGTCGCGCCTGATGTACGTTGCCGCGCAGGACCGACGGATCCTGATCGAAGTGCCCGCGAAGAAGCCGCGATGGTGCAATACGCCCCCGCAAACGCTGCAGTGCTTCTATCAGCCATGGACCAATTGTTCGCTCGACCAACAAGGTGCAGACGTCATCCACGTGAGCCTAAAGAGCTATCACAGCAGCCGAAAGTGGTACGGCAAAGGCAAGACAGTGCACACGATGTACCCTACCCCCAACCGGCTCTTCTTTCGACCAAACGCTCTCGTGCAGCGCCACGTCAACGCCGTGATTGCGCAGTGCGGCGGCACGGATTACTGGACCGTGCACGTCAGAGACTCGCCGGAGAAGCGGAGAGAACTGCATACGACACACCTTCTTGCCTTGCAGGGATACGTGCGCAGGCTACCCCAAAACGTGACGCGGATTCTGTGGCAGACAGCAAACCCGGCTGCCTTTCAGGCGATACTGCGGTACTCTAGTCAGCGCCCGGGCCTGCGGTTCTGCTATACCAACTTTTCGAGGCACACAGAAGACGTATGGGGCGGCCGGAACGCCAGTTTCACCGACGAATCGGGCCTCACGGGTGCCGTCAACGGCGAGCTCGGGCACCTGGGCACGGGACTGATCAGTCTCCGGTCCTCGATGTGGACCGCCTTCCTTGCAAGCTTGAACGCAAGCATGAAGGTGATTGCCGTGTAGAGGCACTCCGTTTGCTTTATTGAGAGGCATACAACCGGACGGGTATAAGCGCGGGGCTCTCCTTTCCTGCCCACCCATATTGTGCGAGGACCCCCCCCCCCCCCCCGCCCCACTCGCGCTCCCCACTCTGCCGCCCTCCACTTCAAGGGATGAAAAAAGGAAATTGCGCTCGGGCCACACCCATGGTCGTTCGGCCGTAACCATGCTGCTGCTCTCGGCGAAACGGTCGCCACCCGCTCTGCTGGCCACGGCACCGGCCACCGCCGCCAGACGACGCCACGTCGCTGCTAGAGCTCGGCGGATCGATGAGCGCGCTCAAGGCTGTTCACGAGATACCGACTCTCTGCTTGCCGGAGTTGCTCCTGCCTGGACAGCGGATTTGGCTTTCGCTCGTCACGCCAGAGATATCAAATTGCTTGCGAAGCAACCTGCTGGTCGGCGTTCTCGGCACGCGCGTCGATGAAGTCGACTTCTGTGATGCTGTATGCTGAGCCACGGCGTCGAGGCGCATGTCACAAGCCAGCCGCTGGTCGGCGACGCTCCGTGGCGGACGCGTCTTCGAGCGGCAGGGCGAGCGACCCAAGCCGAGTAGTGCAGTCACGTCGAGCGAGGTTCGCTGGCGCTGGACCTCGCTCCTCGGCCTCTCGGACGAGCTGTCGGCCAGGCGCTCGCCATCTCGCGCCGTCGAGCTGGCCAGCCGGGAGCTGGGCTCGCTGGTGGGCGCGTGGCTCGAGCTCGCGCGCGGCGGCGGCGCGACCCTGTGGGGCACAGACCGTGCGAGTGCATCAGCGCGCTGGGGCGGCGTCGACCCGTCGTCGCAGCCCGTTGGAGCGTATGCTCATTGACAAGGACCTCGGTGAGATGCCTCCGGCGGACCGGCCAAGCGAGCGTGCGCTGTGGGTCGCGGCGCTTCTGAACCCGTGCGGCGCAGATCGCCAGGCGTGGCCCGTCCTGGACATTCGACCGGCGGTGCTGACCGCGACGACGCCGATGGAGCGGGCTCTCGGTCGCCAAGACGGGGATGGTCGACAGCATGTACAAGCTCAAGGGCGGCTCATGGCCGATGAACACGTACTACTGGTGAGGTGGAGAGCGAGCTGTGACGTGCCCGCCGGGGAAGCCGCGCCGGGAGTGAGCCTCGAGAAGTCTCGCCGGAACGGTTTGGACCCCAGTTCAGATACCCGGGTACGTCCACAAAACACCTAAAGCGCACGCGAAAGGAAAAGAAAGAAAACACTCAACAAGGGAGGGATGGGTTGGGAGGACACGGCACACCGCCACTACACAGGGATTTCACACAAGGAGAGGAGTGTATGGTGCTAGCCGTCGCCCACCCTTGGGCGTCTGCCTCTTCCTATCTCGTCGTCGCAGTCTCTCGCCAATTCTCGCAGCGACCTTCATCGTTCATGCCACCTCGCGGTCTTCCCACTCTGACTCGTCGTTCTCTCTCCTGCCGCTGCATCCTCTGACTCCATGTCGCTCTCCTCTGCCTCGTTCCGCGACGCCGCCGCCGCCTGCCGATCCCTTGCTCTCGCGGCCTCTCTCGCCTCTCGGCGTAACTCCCCTCTCCTGGCAGCGTATTTTGGCCCCTCGAGTTTATCGAGCTCTCCTCGCGACCACTCTTCTGACGCAATGGCGAATTCTTTTCTCGAGTGTTACAGTGGTGCGCGCCCTGGCGAGTACAGACCACGCCTGCTATTCACACAGCACAAGCCCTCGCCCGGGGCTCGAGCATGCGCAGCGAAAAGCTTTTTCCAGAGGGACCCCCCCCTCTGAAAAAGTGAGGCGTGGTCTGTACTCGCCAGGTGCGCGCCAGTCCCGTGCCAGAAAGAAAGAAAAAAGATAAAAAAGAGGGATGGGAGGACGGCACGCCGCCACGACACAGGGATTTCAAGAAGACGACCTCGCACGTGCGGGGTGCGGTCCGGTTGAACTTGAGCCGCTGCACGAACTGGAGGTCCGACGCCTTCACCTCCGCCACCTCACCGCCACCGCCTCACCGCCTCATCTCCGCCACCTCACCGCCCACCGCCTCATCTCCGTCACCTCGATGCTGAATGGCCTTGGGCTTGGCGTCCCTCCCCCCACCGCACGCGATATTTCGGACGACGACGCGGTGGTTCTGCGCGCGGTTTACGAGTCGCCGGAGGCGGGCGCAAGGACTTCACCGCTCTTGGTGCGCTCGTAAAGCAGACGCTGCGCGAGGACTCGAGTGACTTCAGGTGGTGTGCGAGTGTCATCTGCAGTGGTGAATTCTATGTCTCACTGCCTGGCCAGTATGGCCCCGACCCACGCTGCATGAGGGGGGCGGGGTCGCAGCCTGGTTGGCGACGCTTGCCGGTAGGAGTGGCTCCACGCCGACCGTTGCAGACGACCATCCTCGATCGCGGCGGCGCGCTCTCAGCTGAGGATGCGCTCGAGCAAGCCGGCGCAACGACGCCCGCCCGACTGGGTGGCATACGCAGAGCCAGACGGGTCGGAAGACCTAGGGAAAGCAGGGTGGGCCTATGCAGTAGTCATCGGGAGCGACGCCATTGGCGATGAGGGCGTGTCGCTGATCTCGAGCAGATCTCGAGGTGCCGATGGCGGCAGCTCAGTTAAATATCTCTGAGTTTTGTAAGAGATGCTGCGTGTGTGGAAGATCTCTGATCGGCATCTACGATCTCCACTCTCAACAAATCTACTGGTGTCCCGCAGAGATCTCGTCATGTATGCGGGCCGATATCGCGCATGCACCATCGTATGCCGATCGTGAAACAGAATCATCCGAACCTTGCTACGCGTGCGTGGTGGCCTGCTGCAAAGCATCCCGACGCACGGCAACACACACTACAAACACGACCAAGAGCGATCCCATTGACCATAGCCTACCATAGCACTCATGCATTGATTAATGCATACCATGCGGCACAAACATACGAGTTCCTCGCGAGGAATTCGTAATCACCATGCATATGCTGGACATGGGGCAGCGTGGAACCTATCGCTGCGAGATTATCACCCGCCCAGGTGCACAGCGTGTCCGCCGCCTAGGCGTACACGCCGCCGCCGAGCATATGCGAAAACGGGTCGAAAGAGCAATCGCGCTTGCTGTACGCAAATGGGTCGATGCATAGGCCACCGATGCCTGCCGCGCTGGACGTGTCGAGATCAAACTCGGAGAACGGATCGAAGTCGAGCTCCGACGAGCCGCCGTGGTGGCCGAACGGGTCAACCTCAGGCTCCTCAATGAGAGGCAGCCCCGTTGGCGGCCAGCGGACAACACTGGCCGGCGCCAACGACGTCACCTGGGCCTCGTCCACCTCGCAACGGACGCGTGGCGCTTCGAGTTCAGCAGCATCCGCCATAGCACACGCCGCAAACCAGTCAGCCAGACAAGGCGTCGATGCATCCAGCCGTTTGATTGAGGTAGAAACGCCGCGCAAGCCCCCGCCGTCCGCTCGGACCACCGCCAGGTTGTGAGCATAGACAACCCCTCTCCCGGCAGTGTTGACGCACTGCGTGTTGGACGTGTCGCCGAGCACACTCTTCCTGGTGGCGTTGGAAGGAGATGAGTGTCTGAGGCAGTTGGGTCTGACACAACAAAGGGCCGGGTGTGAAGCTGCGAGAAGAGCTGATGTGGGCGTTGTTGTGCCTGCCGGCCGTGGCGCGCCGATGGCGCAGTGGCCTGGCTTGTTCAGCAGAGCAGAGAGCGTCTTGCCAGCTGCCTCGTCGGGAGAGATGTTCCAGAGCGTGTGCCTGCGGAGGCATCGGGGGGCTATTCCTCGCGTCGTGGAGTGCATTGCTTGTATTGTTGGATGTGGGCAGCGTGGTACTAAAAGGGTGACCGTGAAGGTGCAGTGGGATTGTGGCTTTGTGCTGGTTGCTGCTAAGTTGCTGTCGTGTGGCCACGGGCAGAAGTGGTGGCAGGTGTGCAAGGCAGCTGCGCACCACTCTGGCGACGCGCGGCGAAAGATGAAGGGTGGCGTTCCACTTGTCTCCACCCAGCAAGTCTCGGGCTCGGGATCGCAAGCCATGCACGCGCCGCGCCGTGTGTGTGCTCCGCGCAACTTCGGCGCGCCGAGTTTTAGACGAAACGCATTCACGAGAGCGGTGGGGTAAGGGCGAGGGCGACCCTCGCGTCTCCACGTCTAGACGACAGGAGCCCCACGGCATTAAAGGTGCAATGCCCAGTGCGCTGTCTGGAGCTGGGGCTATGGAGGCTCTGGCCGCTTGGGCCACGCGGCGACGAGCAGCACGAGAACGGGCTGCCCAAGAAGATCGAGGCCTTGATTGGCCGGCGCGTCGTCGCTGTGTCGGCAGGAGGCGACCACAGCCTCGCCATCACCGCCGACGGCGCCGTTTGGAGCTGGGGCTGTGGACGCGAAGGCCGGTTGGGCCACGCCCACGGCGAGAGGACCTGTCGAACCAGCCGCTGCCCAAGAAGGTCGTGGGGTGGGCGCCGGGGCAGTGAGGTTCTGAGCACGGGGAAAAGGCGATACCGATACAGTCACCGATAGGCGTCAGTGAGCAGGAGATGAGGAATCTCGGTCTAGTCACAACTCGTCTGAAGCGTGGCGGGAATAGAGAAGGCACAACATATTTTGATTGTGCAGCCAGCGTGCTCGAGCCAGCGTGTCTGAGAGGAGGCTAACTCTTCAGATCTTTCCATGAACCGCCCAGTTTATGGATACTGAGCCTGAGCGCGGTGTGTGACTGGTGACAAGGAGGAGCTGACAATCCAGTAACCTCCCGCTCATTCTCGGCCGAGCAGTCATTATCGGTCCTCCTCCTCCTCCTCCTTCTCCCTGAGCGCCTCGTGCTCACTATCCGCGCAGCCGCAGTTCGCGCAGTACGCGCGCCAGTGGGCCAGCCTCGACGGCATCAGCTTTGGTGCGCAGAAGCCGGGGCAACCGTTGCAGCGTGGGCACTGGCCGCGGAGCACACCGCTGCGGCATCGGCTGCCTGAAGCGGTCGCACTCGCCACGGCGCGGTCGTACTTGTCCCTGGCGACACCCGCCTCGGCCAGCGCCGCCGACACCGCCGCGAGCACCTCAGCCCGTGACCGCTCCACTTCCGCCGCCGCGCGGCGCGCCGCCGCCGCCGCGCGCCTCGCGCGCAGCGCCTGGAAGGGTCCCGGAAGGGTCCTGGGAGGCTCCTAGAAGGTTCCTAGAGGGCGCCTCACGCGCAACGCCTCGAGCCTCTCCCGCCGCGCGAGCGCGGAGCCGAGCAGCTCGCGCGCCGCGTACGCCTTGCGAGCCTCGGCGACCAGGCAGCTGCCAGACGGGAGGCCGACGGCGGCGTAGCCCGCCGCGCCGCCCGACACGCCGGCGGCGAGCGTCGCGCGTCGCAGCGCGCGCCAGCGCCCTCCCCCTCCCCCTCCCCCGGCCGCGGCCGCGAGCCCCACCAGGAAGGGAAGCTCGAGGCGCGGAGCAGCGCGAGGGCGGGCGCACGCGGCGCGCACCTGCCGGCACGGCATGCAAGCACATCGCTGTGAGCCACTCTACTGCGACGCCTTTCTTCCCGCGGGAGTGGAAGGCTGTCTCTCGAGGGGCGGCTTCCGCCCCGGGCGAACTCTCTGGGCGCACGCGTGGCGGGGGGGGGCGTGAGATAGGGGAGGGGGACGGCAGGCGAGGTGCGGCAGCGGAGCGTGTTGAGGGGGGGGGAGGAGCGTGAAGGGAGGGGGGGGGGGGGGGCAGGGATGTGTCTCGGAAGTGTCTCGCGCCGGCCGGCAGAGAACCGAGGCTGCTGCCCGCTCCGCCTGAGGTAAGGGAATGGACACTTCTCCACACACACACACACGCACACACGCACACACACACACACACAAGGTGGCGGGGCAAGGGCCAGGCTAGCCCTCGCGACTCCACCCGTCTAGACGACAGGAGCCCCGCGGCATTAACAGTGCAAGGCCCGGTGCGCGTGGGTGAGGTGTGAGCGTGTGCCTCGCGCCGCGCGTACGCGGCAGGCAGCTGGCCACCGCCCTCGAACCACGCGATGACTCGCTCCTCGCCCCAGCCCGCCATCTGGAGCCGGGTGTGGGGAGGGGGGAGGAGTGACGGGAGGCGCGTGGGGGAAGGGGGGTTGCCAGAGGAGAGAGGCCGC